CAAATCAGAAAATTGTGAGCGGAAAACCCTCTATTTTGTTCCCAGATTTGATCACTTAAATGTTTAATTCTTCCACAATATATTGTTAAATATCCCTTCCTTAGGTCTGTTTATTATCTTTTCCTCGGCTTCCCTTACCTCTCTGTTTATCTGGAAGGCTTTATTTTTTCTGCCTCAAGAGGACCTCTTAAACTCAACTTCTGGTGATCTGTCTTTTACTCTCTCCCACCATTTCTTCCTCTGGCTGACCTATCTTCATTCCTGTTCTCACCTCTCAAATGATATCACTAGTTTTCTTATATGACTTTTGTTCAGGCTTCTTTTCTCCTAACTTCAGTTTTAGAACAAAGGAGCTATGTGACTTTGGCAAGAGAAATACCAATTTATCATGCTACCAAGTTGTATACAGATATATCTAGATCCTTTTTAGAATACTGATGGTTAATGACATGTACGAAGACAATATTGTTGTTAAGTGCTATGAGTCACCTACAAAGATAACTACAAAATATCCTTCTGGAGTGCTCAAACTAAAAATAATAGCCATCAAATTTAAGTCAACTAATAGCTGACCCTTCAGTCAGTTGTAAATCTCAGTGGAGGACATTACCCATTTTTCTCCTTAAGAGTCACTGGTGGATTTGAACCCCTAGGGAGACACCACCTTTAGTTAGTACCTTGACTCTGTACACACCAGAGGACTGAGTGTCTGATACAAACTACTAAATTTTATACCGTTCATCCCCTTCTCTCATAATTCTTTCTTTGCTCAACCAAACACCACGTTTCAGTCTCTCACACTTACTAACACAACTTTCTCTAATATTATCTCCTCAATACAAAGAACATCAAATAATCTTTCTTTTCTTAGAGAGGCCTTTTTTAAATAATAGAAGACAAAATCTTTCTCTCATCAAAAACTCAACCTGGAATAATATCATCTTTTATCAGAGTACACCTCCGTTCCTGTCATCCTTCTCTTTTTCCTTTAAACATATTAAATCCTGGTAATGTGGTTAACATATATACAACAAGTATTTCCTTAAAGAGCTTAAAGACCACTAGGAGAAACTGTCTCAACAAATAAGTTGCAGTAAAGGAAGGTAAGTGCTAAAATAAATAAAATAAAAAATATTCCATAAAGCTTCTGTAGAACGTGACTAGTTGCGGATGAGTAAAAAGAAGTACTGAATAGAAGTTGACACCTGAGCTGAATGTTATAGAACAAGGAAGGTGCAGTTCTATTTGTTTTAAAATATCATTTACATTTGAACTAATACTCAAATTCTAAGGAAAAGTAAATGGAAGAAAAATAAAAGGAAGGTGGGGGACAGGAGGAGAGAGGAGAAAAGGAAAGGACAAAAAAGCTAAATACAAAACTAAACATTCAGAAATAATCAAGAAGGAAAAAACAATGATAGAACAGGTCAGGCTTTATAAAGGAGTTAAGTAATTAAATTTCCTCAATGGGTTTTAATAGGAAAAAAAATAACAGATGCAAAGAAGATATGTGCTTTGAGAAGAAAGCCATTTTCTTTCCTCTTAAACAGCAGCATGAGGAATAAATTTTTTTCTATAATTATATTTTATTAATTTTCATAAACATTTACAGAGATTTTGGGTTTCCATTCATTCATTGTTGC